GGGGTCGGGAGGCTCCCTCTCAGCTCTTTAATTTCCTTTTCTTTCTGTGCTTAACAGAAAGGGCTGGGCCACACTGGCCAGACTGCAGCTGCTTCTTCCGGCCTGGCCAGCCCGCATTTATTAGGCACCCTTGGTTCCGGACAGGCCAGCGTAAAAGAAGGCAAGCCTCTCCCTCGGGACCTGTTAACGTTTAACTGGCTATCAAGCCCTCCCATGGTGACCTTTCTCCTGAGGTCCAGTGCCTGGCCTTATCTCTCCTGTCTGGCACTAGACCCAGCCTGACACCACGGGGGGCACAGGGCTGGGTTTTGGAGGGTGGCAGCTGCATATGCAGTGCCCTCTTCCTGCTGCTGCCCCTCGTCCTCGCCTAGATCCAAGGAGCAGCCTTCACTGAGGCCGAGGTGCTTGGAGATCGCGCAACCCTTTGTGAGAAACTGAGGCTCAGGGAGAACTCAGCCTTCCCAGTCCCGAGGTTCTGAGCGCCCCCACAAAGGCCTAGCTGCATTCCTGGTGGGGGAAGCGTCCCCCCAAACCCAGTTGCCATGGTGTGTGTGTTTGGTGTGTGTCAGAGACGTAGGGTCTCAAGGTGCTGACCCTTCAGTAGCAGATCACCAGGCCTGTCTTTGGAGGCTCCTCTGGGTGGCTTTGAACTGCTAACCTTCCAGCTGGTAGTTGAACCCTGTTTGAGCCACCCAGGGACCCCTGGGAAGCCTTAAGTCCCCAAAGCAGTCAGGACACATACGAGGAAGGGCTTCCTACCTGAAGTAGGGGTTTGACCAGTCTGATGTAGGGCTGGGTCCTTTGGTTCTGAGCTGACTGGCTAGTTGGTGAGAAGCCCAGGATCCCAAGCCAGGGCCTGGACCTGCTCAGGGAAACAGATGGGGGTGGCCTTAGCAACAACTATCCAAAGCAGGCATTTAGTAAGGAGAGACGGCTCCAGGAGGAATCTTGAGACTGGAGAAGCAGTGATCTGAGAGGGACTAGCCCCGAGGGGCAAGGGCAAGGGTTCAGGGGGGAGGGGTTGGGCAGGGCAGGGCTGGGCTGGGGGACAAACCCAGGAGCCTTCAGCCATTCCAGCCCCTGGTGGCCACCCTGCCCCCTCCCTGTAGCCCCCTGGACCCCTGGTGCCCTCCTGGGGGTGGGTTGAGGCCCAGTCCCGCCTCGCTGACCCCTGCCCGTGGCCCCGCGGTGACATTTGACCTTGCAGGGGCCACAAACCTGGGACAAAGAGTCCTAGGCCCATCTGCTGAAGGGGTGCCCGTGGGAACTGCCAGCCCATGCAGGGGGAAGCCTGGGAACCGGCCCCCAGCCCCAACAACGACCCCAGGGCACCTCCGCCCCCCACCCCATGTGCATATGCTTTCCCCTCCTCCTACGATGACCTTGGCCCCCTCCACCCACTGGCAACCTGGAGGGTAAGATCACTCTTAGACTCTTGCAAAACGGACAAGGTCACCTTGTGGGCTCCCCCTCCTCCCCTATGGGCAGCCTTGTCTGCCTCAGTTTCCCTGACCTGTGTCCCAGTCGGATGGATCCAGAGACACAAAAGTTAGAGAAGACTATATCGCCTTCTTTAACCTCTGTAGTCAGGTGGGGCCTCTAGAGTCTGGCAGACAGCTCTGACACTGACCACAGGCGCCTGCTCCTCCCCCCTCCTGGCCTAGAAAGAGGTAGCAACCAACCAGCAAGCACACGCGCGCGCACACACACACCTGCGCAGGTGGGGCCCAAATCCCTCCTCTCCAGGGCTGGACACAAAAACGCTTTCTAATCCCTGTCTTGGGTTTCAGGGACCGCCCAAGAGAGGACAGCTGGCCACTAATCCCACCAGGCTGGGTCAAAGCCCACCCCGGCATTTGGGGCCCAGCTAACCCAGTCTGCAGAGGCTGGAAGGGTGGTCTTTGCAAGGGAAGGCTGCTAGTTGCCAAGTATTCAAAACAAGACAGAACAAACCCCAAACCCATTGTTATGGTGTGTGTTTGGATTCATGGGGACCCCATGTGCATCAGAGTACAACCGCCCCCAAATCTCCGCTGAAGTGCATCGCCAGGCCTTTCTTCCTTGGCACCACTGGATGGGTTCAAACCATCCGTCTCAAACTTAGTTCATTGCAAACCTTTTAACTCGGGCACAAACACCTCCCAAAGCTCCCATCAGCCATAGGAAAAAGACAAGCTTCTCAGTCTGGTCAGGGCCACTGCTGGCCCTGGAGGTCACAAATATGCCCCATTGCCATCTGTCCACAATCTAAGGCCCCCAAGTCCCTGCTTCACCCAGAAGCCCTCTCCCTCCGCAGCAATCTTCAAAGCCAGGTTCTCAGCCCTCTCTGGTTCCCTCCCCTGCCCCTCTCATCTCCAGCCTGGAACCAGGTGCTCCTCTTAGCTGACGGTCTTCCACGTAAAGCCAGAATGGTTCTGGCCTCAGTTTCCCCACCATGATGTGGGCCTCTTCCTCTTGGGGAACATCTCCCAGACCAAACCCAGCATCTCCTTGGAAACATGCCTGCTCCTCTCCTCCCCAGAGCCCCCTCCCAGATGGGAGCTGGGATTTTAGCTTTTGTTATGTAACTTCAGAATCTCATTTGTCCCCCTGGGTCCCCAGTTCCAGTGGGAGAGCTTTGCCTCTGGCTCCCTCCAGACCCTATCCTCACAGCCCGGTCAGCTTCCTGCCCAAGCCCAATGACAAGCCATGTTTCTACTCCAGATGGATCCTAAAACATCATTTGCTTGGTTTTTTTTTAATATATCATTTGGGGAAAAAATTAATATATATATATCAATATATATATATATATATATATATATCATTGCTTCCAGTTGATTTCAACTCATGGCACCGCCCTATCTCCCAGAGGAGACCTGCTTCGTAGGTTTGTCATGGCGTCCTGGTGGACTGCTAGCCACCAGGTCAACAGTTCAAAACCACCAGCCTCTCCATGGGAGACAGAGGAGGCCTGCTGCTGCCATAAAGATGTATAGTCGCAGAAACCCACCGAGGCAGTCCTACCCTGTCCCAAAGTGTCGCTGTGAACCTAACTCAACTCGATGGCAGTGAGGTGACCTTTGCATGAGGAACCCTGGTGGTAAAGGGGGTTCACGCTTTGGGCTACGAGTTGGAAGAAAGGCCGACAGTTCGAATCCACTAGCCACACCACGGCAAAGGGATGAAGCAGGCGGCCTCCATACACATAGCGGGCAGGGGTGGGACCTTTTCCCCACAGCATTCGTGGGCCATACAACACTTAAAAATCAGCCTATGTTTGGGAGAAAGAGGAGGATTTCTACTCCTGTAAAGAGTTAGTCTTGGAAACCCACAGGGGCAGCTCTACCTGTCCTATAGGGTCACTATAACTCAGAAACCATTTGATGTCAGTGAGTTTGGCTTTGGGGGACTGCTCCTCGGTGGTGAGCTGTGTGATGTTCGGTGGTATCGATGGGATGAGGCTTGTGGGTCTGACATCGTCCCCCATGATTTATAGCCTCAGAAACCCAGATGTGGTGAGGCGGTTCTAGTCTGATCTCTGAGGCCACTGGAAGTCCAAATGGAGTGGGCAGCAAGGGGGGAGTGAATGATTTCCGGCAGATCACAGCTACGCCCCGTTTCCTTAATGGCTGACCTGCTGTTACTAACTGCCATCAGGGTGTAGACTGGGAGGTGAGAGTGCTAATCATTTTGGAAGCGGATCCCCCGCACCTTTTGCTTCGGCACGCTCTTCTTATAGTAGTCGAGCGTAAACTTTGTCACCCAGAGACCTCTCAGACATGAAGTCACCCTGCACCAGGTCACCACGTGCCAGACGTGTCCCAACGCGACAAGTCACCTAAAGACATTCGAAGGAGTTTATAATGCCACCAGCCACCACTCTGCGGTGCCTCCAGACACGACCCCACTTCAGAAGGGCCTACAGAAGGGTCTCCCCTAGCTGGGGCAGCTGGTGGGCCCGCCGGGGCCTTCCCAAAGCCCGTGCAGTGGCGTCCAGCAGGGCCAGCTCCTCTGCCTGCCGGGCCTCCATGAACGCCACCTGCTGCTCCAGCGACCGCTGCTGCTGCTCCTGCTTCCGATGGGCGCCTCGGAAGGCCAGGACGAGGGCCCTGGAGGGAGGGGGACCAGTCAGGAAGCAGCACCCCCACCCGTGTCCAGGCGGGAGACCCCTGGGATTGGGATTGGTTGTCCTGAGGTCCCACTTGGAATCAGGGGAGGTGTGGGATGGATTGGCTGCATTGCCCACCTCGCAGGGGGAAACTGAGACTCAGAGAAAGCCAGGGAGACTGTGGACGCGACCAGGCAGGACAGGGACATGGGGCAGGGGGCCCACCTGTGAGCTCTGCACAAGTCACGGTTCAGCTTGGCACTGTGAGCGTGCCTGGCTCGGGCCTTCTGAGCCACCTGTTCCAGCTCTTCCCGAAGATCCCGCAGCTGCCCCCGCAGGTCCTCAGCCCTAGAGCAGAGGTGTGGACAGAGGCTCAGAGTCACGGCCATTCACTCACCCTCCCCTCCTCCCGACACCTCATGGGTTGCCAGGCGAACACACCTATACACAGGGGTGCACCTGCCCTCCCCAAGCCCACCCATTTCCCAACCCAGACCCCAGGTACACACCGGATTAGTGACGCCTGCAGCTCCCGGGCCCGTTCCCCTGGGTCCCGCGCTCTGCCCACCGCACCTCCATCAGTGCCTCCAGTGCCGCCACGGACTGCAAGAGGGCCCTCAGGTGGGCAGAAGAGAGGGGGGTGACATTGGTTAAAGTGGGTGCTAAGCGCAAGGGGAGCACCCCAAACACCCAGATGGTGGGGGCCACAGCCCGGTCTTTACTGCGCACCCAGAGAATACTAAGATGATTCTCTGAGAAAGGAAATCAGACACAAGGGTAACCCAAGAGGGCTTCCTTGAGGAAGTGAGGTCTGATTGGAGATCTGCAGGAGGTCAGGTAGAGAATTAGTCCAAGAGAGAGTTTTAGGCAAGGCCCGGCAGGTGCCAAGGTGAGGAGGTGGGAAGAGTTATTCAAAGAGCTACATTAAGGAGACCGATTCTCAAGGTTCAGGAAAGCCGTGGAAGACTTTAAGCAGAGGCTAGGCAAGGCTAAACAGGAAGACGCCCAAACCCTATTGCGGCATTGGCTCCCCTGTGGAGGAAGCCTTCAGTAAATCTCCTAGGACTGGGGCGCACCCATGGGAATGGGCTTGTCATCAGACAGACTTCCCGGAAGGTAGACGTCTGCCATTGTCGTCAGGCTCAAAGGTGACATGTTGTCACTTGATCCCCCCTTTTGACCCGATAGATATGTGTTCCCGTTTTTCCTATTTTTCGCTTCCCTTTCGATCGAGGTTCTTCTCTGCCTTATTCTTTGCTGTGGTTTGGTTTGGTTGGGATTTTTGTATATGAAATCCAGGTTAGGCAAACCTATAAGACAGGAACTGGATTCACAGTTTCCTAGGAGCCTTGATGGCATCGTGATTATGCACAGGGCTGTGATGCAAAAGCTCGACAGTTCGAAACCACCAGCCGCTCCTCTGGAAAACGATGGGGCTTTCCACTCCCATCAAGAGCGGCAGCCTCGGAAACCCACAGAGAGGTCCCCCTGGTCCTCAGGTCACTGAGTCGGCAGGACTCCGTGGCAGTGAGTTTGGTTTGATGGGGAGCGAGCAACATGAGTACGGGGAGAAGAAAAGGTCCTAAAATCGATAGTGTCGATGCCCACACAACACTCCTGAATAGGATTGGACTACTGGAATGTGTGATGGGGGAATTCTGTCAACCAAACAGTCAAACGATTAAATAGGAGAGGCAGAGGGCCCCCAGAGAGGGGCTGGAGCAGTTTTAGGAGGAGGTGAGTGTGGATGTCACATCATCTGGTGTTAAATCCCACAGAAACTCACAAAACATCATCTGGTGTCCATTTGAGGCTTCAGGGGGAAAGGGTGGAGTCTAGCCTGCCAATCAGGTCTCTGTGTGGGCATGGCCTTCTCTTGAGGATTCTGGGAACTCCGGTATTCCTCCTTGGAGGTGGGAGACACTTTCTCTCTACTTACTCCCTGGGAGGCATTGCAGCTGACAAGACATACAGAACTACGCTAGTGCCCTGAGCTGGAGGAGCCACGTGGAGACCCCTGCCAGGGCTGAGATGCTTACACCACCACTGGATCCACAAGACTTCCCACCCACTGGCCTGTGATCTTCCTGCATTCGGCATCACTGCCTTTGTTTCATGAGTCTGAAGAGGAATTTATAGATTGCTATCAGGCATATGGACTCATATCAGATTTATGGGCGTGATCTGAACTGGGCTGGGGTGTTTTGGCTATATTCAACTGCTCTTGAATAGAAACCTCGTTCTTACACACATGTGAGCATATCTATGAATTTGTTTCTCTAGTCTACCCAGACTAACAGTGAGGCATGGCTGGGCAGCCGGGGGTGGGGGTGGGGGTGGGGGTGGGGGGGGTGATGAGAACACAGACGGGTCTGGGGTGTCTGTCTAAGAAGATGCTAAGATCCCTGTTGGGCTTAGTCTCCTCAACAACGAGGCTTTCTACTCCTGTGAAGATATACAGTCCAGAGCCCATGTGGGTAGTTCTCCTCTGTTCTGTAGGTTGGCGATGAGTCAGAATTGACTCAGTGGCAGTGAGTTTTAGTTACGGTCCAAGAAAAGCCATTCCACAGTACAGGGTGGACCCTGAGGCTCAGCTTAACATTTGCCCGCCTCTAAGCAGATATAGAAACCCAAACGCCGAGGGGCTGTCGAGCTCCGGGGTCACAGAGCAGGTGGTATACTGCTGCCCTGGGCAGGCACAGACGCTTACCTGGGGCCACTCCTCCTCGTCCCCGCTGCTCCCGCTTCCACTGCCATCTCCACCGCTGCTGCCCTCCCCACCAGCCCGGAGCTGGGTCTGCTCCCAGCGCAGCTGCTGCAGCAGAAGCAGGTGAGCAGGTCCCACAGTTCGCAGGGTGGCCTCTCGCAATTCCAGTCCCCGCTTCTCCCGGCGTGCCAGCTGTAGCTGCAGTGTCAGGTCTGCCAGGATCTCCTGAGGGGCCAAGGAGAGGACAGAGAGTTTGCCAGCCACGAGGGCAGCAGCGGCTCCATGGCAGAAGCTTCGCCTTCCGTGTGGGGTGCCAGGTTCGAGTCCCAGCCAATGCACTTCAAGCGCAGCCACCACCGGGCTGTCTGCGAGGCTTGCATGTTGCGTGGATGCTGCACCAGTTTCAGAGACGCTTTCAAAGAAGACCGGTGAAAAGGGCCTGGCGTACGTAGCAGTAGAGAAAATTGGTCCATGAAAGCTCTGTGGACCACGAGGGTCCAGACTTGCGTGGTGACCTGGGGCTGAACAGACAGCTGCTGGTGAGCGCAGGATCAACCACCAGAGAAAGAGTGGGCTGGCAATAAGTCTGAACCCAGTGCAATTTGATCTGGTGAGGCAGGGAATGCCACCTGTGACCCCTTCAAAGAGCCCTGGTGACGCCACAGGGAGTCGGTCCTATGGGAGAAAGGCCTGCCCGTCTCCACCCACACCATTTCTAGCATAATCCGAACGTTGGAAAGAGACCGGAGAGCACCTGACTGCAATAAAAGCTATGGCTGCGTGAAGATCGCGGACATGTTTCGTTTGGTCTTGGTGGACAATGGGTGCCCACTGGGAATGTGTGATGATGCCCACATGTTGCCTTTTATGTATTTACTCCAACCTACTAAAAATGACCATATACATATATATATCTACACATGAATATCTACTGCTCACCGCCACTGAGTTGATGCTGACTCTTAGCGAACCTACAGGACAGGGTAGAACGGCCCCTGTGGGTTTCCCAGGCAGAAATCTTTGCGGGGCAGAAAGCCTCATCTTTCTCCTAAGGAGCAACTGGTGGTTTTGAACTGCTGACCTCAGAGTTAGAAGGCCAGCACATAACTCATTATGCCTCCAGGGCTCTATTGCCTGCTTTCTCTCCCTCGCTCTCTCAACAGAAATATAGCTATGAGTCTCAAAAAAAAATGTGTGGTTAAATAGAATGACAAGATAATAGAATTGTTCTAAGAAGTTTTTGAAATTCCCTTGTATATGATATGAGTTTGGGTGGTACAGTGGTTGAACCACTTGATTACTAACCACAGGGCCAGCAGTTCAAGCCCACCAGCCACTCCACAGGAGAAAGATGGGGCTGGTTCTGTAAAGATTTCCAGTCTCTGAAACCCACAGGGACAGTTCTACTCTAGAGGGGCCCCATGAGTCAGAATGAACTCTCGGGCGGTGGGTTTGCTTTGGGGATGGTTGTGGAATGGGAGTTCAGAGAGGACAAGTGTTTTAGACAAGGATGGCTGTAGAATGGCAGTTCAGAGAGGACAAGTGTTTTAGACAAGGATGGCTGTAGAATGGCAGTTCAGAGAGGACAAGTGTTTTAGAGCAGCTGGGTAGAAGTATCTGAATCGGAAGTATTTCATGCAGTGCTGAAACCTCAGACAATGTCATCTTTCTCCCTTAGGAAGGATATTCTGTAAAGCCAGAATGAAAGCCGAGGACAAACTTCGGTTCACTCCTCAAAGCCCCGGTTCTAATTTGTCTTCCTCCAGGAAGTCGGCTCCCAGCCCAAAGAACCTCCCTTATTCCTGGGTCCCGAGCTGCCTTAAGCAACAAACAACAAAGACGAGAACAAGACCGTCTTGGCATTAATGATGGACTGAGTGACCATAGCCCCCGAGTACCCGTGCAGCCTCTCGGCTCTGCTGGATCTGCGTCTTCTCCAACCGGGGCAGAGGGGGACCAGTCTGGGCCCCCATCATGGTCGGCAGCATGGCTTCAGCCCGGGGCACATTGGGTACGGGCTCCAGGGTGGGGCCGGGCTCCGGGGGAATCTTCACCAGAGCTCGGTACTCCTGGAGATGCTGGATATAGCCTCGGAGCTGCGCGGTCATTTCCTGCAACGTGGGTCTGTCCACGCTGCTACCCTGCGGGCTGCAGGAAACAGAAGAAGGCTTTGTGTCAACACTGGGGAGCAGGGTGGTTCTAACCCCACAGCAACCCTGGTGGGTACCATCATCCTCCATCCCACCTGCCACCATGGGTCCTAGGCCATCTGTGGTGGTCCCTCTGGCACCCAAACCCCACCAGGCCAACATGATGGGTATCATCAGGCCAAACCAGTGGGCACCATCATCCATCCAGACTACTTGGCGGACCATTAAACTAGGCCACTGGGCATGGTTAGAGATCGAGTTGTGTGTTTCCCCCAGGTATGTGGTATAAATCCTAAGCTTTCTGACTGCAGTTATAATCTCATTTGGGAGCGGGTTATCTTCGTTAAAAGAGCCCTGGTGACTGAGTGGTCAAAGCACTTAGCCGCTAATCCGAAGGTGGCTGGTTCAACTCCACCAGCTGCTCCGCCCTGGAAACCTGATGGGGAAGATCCACTCTGTCCTATTGGCTCAGCAGCATCTGGAACTGACTTCCCAGCAGTGGTTTCTGTTTGTTTGCTTGGTCTTTGTTATGTTAATGAGGCAGGATTCAGGGAGGGTGTATCTTGAACCAATCTCTTTGGAGGCATCTCTCACTCACCACCATCCAGTCAACACTGACTCACAAGGACACCAGAGGACAGGGTAGAACTGCCCCTGTGAGGTTCTGCGGCTGTAACTCTTTAAGGGAGCAGAGAGCCTCATTTGTCTCCCACGAAGAGGCTAGTGGTATCGAACCACTGACCTTGCAGTGAGCGGGGTTGAAACACAAGCTAGCAAGCCAAGACGTGTGGAGATGCCAAGCCACACGAAGATCACCATGGAGCAGAAGCTCAAAGAAACAAGACGTTCCTCCGGAACAGAGAGAGAGAGAGAGAGAGAGAGAGAGCCTTTCCCTAGAGCTGGCACCCTGAATCGGGACTTCCACCTCCGAAACGATGAGCGAGCACATTTCTGTTGGTTACAGACACCCATTGGTGGTATGTCTGTTGAGCATCATCCACCGAGACATGCCCACGCAATGAGTGCCGTCATCAAGCAGGGCTGTCTGGTGAACCACCATGACTGCCCAATGGGCACCGTCACCCCAAGTCAATGGAGGTGGAAGATATCCTGGATGTGGCCCTTTGCTTTGCTTCTTTGGGAAGAAACAGCTTGAGAGGCTTCCCCTCAGCCCGGAGGCTTTGCCTTTGCCCTGGTGGTCGACCCGGGGTTGGATCTGGGTTTGTCCAGTGGTCCCGGTTGATAGGCACTTCCTGAGCAACCTGTACACGTTCTGTACTTTTCGTCCAGGTTCTGAGCTGCCGCCTCCCCTGTGGTTGGTAGGCACCTTCCAGGAGCCCTGGTGACTTCGTGGGCTACTCTGTGTGCTGCTGACTGCAAGGTCAACCATTCGAATCCACCAGCTGCTCCTTGTGAGAAAGACGAGGCTGTTTACTCTCATAAGCAGTTACAGTTCTTGGGAAGCCGCAGGGGCAGTTCTACCCTGCTCTGTTGGGTCCCAATGAGTCGAGATGACTGCATGGCAGCGAGCTTGTAAGGCCTGGTAAATAGGCTATGCCAACGACGTGTCTGTCGTCTAACATGCAGTAAGCAGCTCGAACCCCACAGAGGTTTCCCAGGCACAAAGAAGTAGGAAGAGAGGCAGCAGGTGGAACGAGAGAGGAAGATGGATGAAGAGGAGCTTAGGAATCTCCTAAAAGTGCGGTCACACAGGTCAAGGAATAAAACACTGCAGACAGCAGCGAGGAGGCCCAGCGGCGGAGCTGGTGACAACTGGAACCTAGTGGCAGAGTTGACAGTGACAGGCAGCGGTCCCAAGGGAGGGCCTGTCCTCAGGGGCTGAGAGAGCTGCCCTGGACTGAAGGAGGGCAACTTTGCCTACCTGCTGCCTGATCCTGAGCTGTAGCTGCTCAGCAGGATCCCCAGTGGTCCCCTGTTACTTCCTTCATAAGCCAATGAACCGTACCTGTGGTCTGTTTTGCAGCGGATGGTGGAACCCAGCATGGAAGAAAAGACTGCCATGGGGCAGGGTGGACAGTGGCCATGCGGACTGACAAGCAGGTTGGCAGGCAGGGGCAGGTCTGAACCACCACCTCCTAGGAATTAGCCTTGGGCTGGTGCTGACCAGCTCCCGAGGTGAGGCAGACTCTGCTGCTCCTTCACCCTTCTGCACCCATGAGCACCAGCCCTCTGCATACCAGTCCTCTTTGGCAGGCTCGTGCCGACCACCGTGTGTATTAGGGCAGCCTCATTCTGCGCCATCATCCACCTGCATGCCAACCAGGGGGAGGCCTTTGCCAATGCAATCAGCTGCCACGCCAACCGTGCTGAGCAGCAGTTGTTGGTCCTGTGGTGGTCCCCTAATCTGGTGTCAATTTAAGGACGAAGAGTGTAGGGTGGGGGGAAAAAAGAGCGTAGGGGTGGAGCCTAGGCTGTCAATCTGGAGAGAGCCAATGAGACTTCTGTGTGGGCATGGCCTTCTCCTGAGAATTCTGGAAAATCTGGGAATTCCTTCTTGGAGGCAGGAGACACTATCTCTCTCTGTTCATTCCCTTGGAGACTCTCTCCTGCAAGGTTGACTTCCTGCGAGGCATCCCTGAGGAGATCCACACAGACCTACCCTGAGGCAGCCCTGGGAACTGGAATGGGCACGTGGAGACCCCTGCCAGCGCTGAGATGCTTCTACCATCACTGATTTTGCAGCCACTGGCCTGTGATCCTTCTGCATTTGGCATCATTGCATGTGTTTCGAGAGTCTGAAGAGGACTTTATGGCTTGGTGTCGGACATCCGGGCTAATGTTGGTCTTATGACTTTGGACTGGATTGGGCTGGGATGTTTTCTCAACGTTCATTTGCTCTTGTGGATAAATCTCTTCCTTATACACCTATGTGAGTCCATGGATTTGTTTCTCTAGTCTACCCAGACTAACACAGGTCCTTTCTGGACACAACCAACCATGCCAAACACCAACACAAGGCCATCATGGGAGCCCCTCCACGAACCAAAGCTGCCCGCCCATCCCCAGAGCCCCCGGCTCACCTCGGCTGCACCTCCCCCGGTGCTCCTCCAGCCAGTGCGGCCTCCTCATTTGCCAGCAGTCTCCAGACCATCTTCTCAGCGGCCTGCAGGTCACCCACGGCAGCGCCTTCTGCTGTGGCCTGGGCAGCCTGCCGTAGCGCAAGCAAGGCCCCCCAGGCCTCCTCACAGTGCTCACTGCGGGACAAGGGTCCCCACCGTGCCAGGGCATCCAGCGCTCAGTCTCCTCTCAGAGGGCAAACCGCTATTCACTCCTCAAAACGCCAGCGCCCATCTGTTCCCACCAGGGAGCCTGGCCCATCCAGCTGCATGGGTTCTAGTCTCTGCTAGCTCCCGGCACCCTGACTTTGCTCCCTGTCCCCACCCCAGGGAGAACTCAGACTCCCTCGGCACCCTGGGACTCAGCCTGTCTGAAATGAATTTCCTACTCATGGGTGGGGCAGTGGGAAGTTGCTTTCCGGTGGGGGCCCAGCTTGCCTCTGTGTATGGAGCCACCACCTGGCTGCCCTGTTCCTCCCTCCCCACCGCCTGTGGCACATCATGGCTGGATTGTACTGACCTGTAATGCAAGGCCAGGTGCAGGGCTGTGGCCTGGGCCTCCCGTTGGTGCAGCTGCATGCTGAGACCCTCGCAGCGGCTCTTGTAGCCCTGCAGCACGGCTGACAGCAGCCGGTTGAAGCATTTGAGCTTCTCGATGTGCCTGCCCTCGAAGGTGGGGAAGAGGAAAGGGTAGCCCCCCCCCTGGGGCAGTCTGGACCTGATTTCCGATCCCTCCCCTTCCTCCTGCTCCATCTCCAGCCTCCTGGGTGGGGTGCTGGTGCCCTTACGAGCTCAGCAGGGATGGCTCTTACCCCCGGAGCTGGTCAAGTTGGGCTTCCATAATGTGCATCTCAGGGGCAAGGGGCTGGGAGGAGGGCGGTCCAGGTCCGAGGATTTCAGTGCTGGAGTTGCTCCTGAAGCGCCGGAGCAGAGGGTGAGGCAGGGGGAAGGGGTCCTGCTAAGAAGAAGGGCCTTAATTAGCCCCCATTGACACAGAGGAAAAGGATTTGGGTATTAGGTCTTTTCCAGCCCTAGGAGCTGCCAGAGACCAGGATCCAGATCTGGATCTGAAGCCCTTATGGGATCTTCATCCTCACACTTACCTGAGCCCCCCAGGGCTCTCCATCTGGCCCAGGGCTGCTGGAGCCACTGCCCAAGCTGCCCACTCTGCTGGGAGAGGGAGGTGGGAAGGGCTTGAGTCTCAGCAGAGAATCCTGCAGCTCCTGGACCTGGGAGAGGGGATTGAGAATATCAGACCCGGATGCTTTACCCACCTGCCATCCCTCCCTAAAACCTGTTCTTGGGGAACAGTGACAAGAACCCGAGTTAGAGGGCAGTCGCCCCAGCTACCAGCTCCACTGCAGCCCTCATCCTGGGACCTTGGGGAAGTCACTTAGCCACTCACCACTCAGGTATCTTTTCTCAAAGGAAAATGGTGCTCACTCCGTGTTCTAGGTCCCTGAGGCTCTAGGCCAGGGGTTCCCAACCTTCCTCAGGCGCGACCCTTTCTCACAGTTCCTCATGTGGTGGTGACCCCCAACCATAACATTATTTTCATTGCTACTTCATCACTGTCGTTTTGCTACTGTTACGAATCATCACGTAAATATCTGATAGGCAGGATGCATTTTCATGGTTACAAATTAAACATCATTAAAGCATCGTGATGAATCACAAAAACAATATGTCATATACTGTGAACTATTTATTTCTCATGACAAATCAATGAAGTTTTGTCTTGAAGCGGGGCGGATCTACATGTGGGCGGGCCCTCCTGGAGACCGATAGAGGAGCGGTGTCTAGGTCCCTAAGAACATCGGAAATATGTATTTTCAGATGGTCTTAGGCGACCCCTGTGAAAGGGCTGTTCCACTCCCAAAGGGGTCGCGACCCACAGGTTGAGAGCCGCTGACCCAGGCCCTAGGCTGTTGTTAGGTGCTAACGAGTGGGTTCTGACTCAGGAGAATGAAACACCACCCACTCCTGCACCAGCCCCTGAGACAACGTCTCCCCAGCCTTGCCTCTGAGGAGCATCCTGGCTGTACTTTTTCCAAGACGGATTTGCTTGTTCTTTTGACAGAGCAAACAGTTCAGTTCAAAGGGAGGGGGGCTCCTCCCGCATGGCTGTCATCCATCCACATGCATTTTGTTTGTTTTTTTGCCACATGGTTTTAAATGCCATCTGCACATGAAGATACCCCCATGTCTCCCTCTTGCCCCTAAATTGTCCCAAGCTCCGGCTTCAGACCGACACCCACCCCCTGGAAGGTTCCACCTGGGCTTCTGAAGGGGCCCTTGATCTCACCGGCATCCAAACAAACCTAGTGTCTTCCCACAGGACAAACACCTATCCAGTCCAATCTCTTTCCCCTAGAAAGCCTGCCCCCAGCCTAGCTTGCCCCTGAGCCTGCCCTGTTCTCTTCAACCCCTCTGACCCCAAACTCAGCGGTTCTCAGCAGCACATCCAACATCGTCCAGAATGTTCCCTCTGTTCATCACCTCTACGATCGCTTTCATCGCTCACCTGGATCAGCACAGCTCCTCCCTGTCCGCCACCCCTGTCCCCCACACTCTAGCCTCTCCTCAACATCCAGGGGGCACCTGCCAGCACTTGAGTCAGGTCACATCCCTCCCCTGTTTGGGCCCTCCATGGCAGAACAGAAACCCAAGTGTTCTAGGCAGCCCGTCAGCCCCTGCTGCAAGCTCTGGTGGGTCATCTCCTTGCCCTCACCCCCTGACCCACTCTCCCCATCATTTGCTCTCTCTCTCTCTGGCCACCCTGGCCTCCCTGCTGTCCCTTGAGCAGGCCGGGCACGCTCCTGCCTCAGGGCCTTTGCACATGCTGCTCCCTCTGCCTGGCATACTCCTTCCCCGGCTCCTTGCAGGGCTTCCCCCTCATTCCTAGACTCCTTCTGAAGCTTTTGTATTGGGTACTCGGTGGTGGACGGAGAGATCAGAGTTTTCACCCAACAGCTTATATGTGTTGTGATTCAACCCGTGGCTTCTGGTCTTAATTCCGTGACCTCACAAAAATGGCAGGGGGTCTTTATTTTGGGTGGGTGGGGGGCCTCGACAGTTTCATGTCACACACACACACACACACCCCACACACGATGTTCTAGGAAAGGGTGGAAACAAATGCACACATGTTGCCCACGCAGGGTCTGCCCCTCCCCCCAGCAGGACCCACCCCTCACCTCCTTCTGCAGTGTCTCCTTCTCGGCCTGGATGGCCTGCAGGGAGGCCTGCGTGCGGGCCAGCTCTGCCTTGCGGCTGCCCAGGGCCAACTGCAGCCAGGCGTTCCTCTCTGTCAGGCGGGCTGCCTCCCGATGCCCTCTCCCAGCCCCCTGCAACCCCGTCCGTGGCCCTGCTGACCCCCAGCCCTCTGCCTCCACCAGCCCCAGGCAGCTGGGGGCCTGCTGGCGCCACACAGCAGCTGCTGCCTCCAGGCTGCTCAGAGCTTGCTGAAGGGTCTGGAACACGCCAGCGGGGTCGGCCGGGGGGAGGGCGCGCTCCCCACCCTGTGGGGCTGCCTCTGAGGCTTGGTGGGTTTCCTCGGCAGGTTCCGGGGGGCCCTCAAGGGCTGGGGCCAGTCTTCCTCCAGCGTCTTCATCAAGCGCCGGGTCCGTTCTGGGGAGAACATGCCAGGAGACTGAGCCACTAGGCACTTGGTGGGGGGTTCTAGGGGCTAAACCTCAGGGGGGAGCACAGGAGGCGTGTGGTATACGCTGGGCTGTGATCCGCAAATCCAGTAGTTCAAAGCCACCAGCAATGATGGGGGAGAGCGTGTGAGCTTTCTACTCTTGTAAACAGTTGCAGCCTCAGAAACTCACCATCCTGTGGGGTCGCTATGGGTCAGCATCGACTCGGTGGCGGGGAATGAGACCTCAGGGTACCTGGGCTGTGTGGTCCAGGTGTGTGTGGGGGGAGCTGGTTGGAGGGGGTGGTGATGGGGTTAGGGAAGCAAAGTGGGGACATCCACCAGAGGAAGGAGCCTTCCCAAAGGGAAGGAAGGCTTCTTAGCAGAGGGTGTGGACCAGCCAAAGGCCTGGAGGTGAGGGACAGAAGGTTCTGGAAAGATGGTCTGGGCTGACGGATTGCAACCGCCCTCCAGGCAGGGTTTGGAAATCAGGTTGAAGAAGGCAATCGGGAGCCATGGAGGGTGTTGGAGCAGGGAAGGGGTGCAGGCAGGATGGTGGGTGGGAAAGAAGTGCCCGCTGGTGTGAGGGGCACCAGTCCTTACCTGCCCCCGGCGTCCTGCCCCCCAGCCTCTGCAGAGAGACTCGGTGGCTCCGACTCTCCAGGGCTCTCCTGGGGGGTCTCCTGGGGGCCCGGCTTGGGGCTCTCTGTAGCCGCTTCCACCTCCTCTGAACTCTCCACTACAGGGTCCAACTCGACCTACAGAGAGCCCCCCACGTTCCTGCTCTGAGCCCGGTAGGGGTGGGCCCTGGGGTCCTGAGGGGCCGGGCACGGCGGGGGATCGTGGCGACACTCACAGCCGGAGGATGTCTCCCGCGCCGACTCCGGGGCCGCTTGGCCTGGGGGTTCATTGCTGTCCACAGATCAGTGCCCTCCGGGGCCCTGCCTTCCTCGCTCCCTGAAAGCGGTGGGGCCTTCGCGCCTGCCTTGCTGTCCTGAGCAAATGCCAGCCTCAATTGTCTCTCCTGTGGAATGGGTCCCCCTCTGAAGGGGCTCTTGAGCAATCAGCGTTGATCTGGTGTACCTGAATACCTCTCTTGATGGGCAACTCCCTACCTCCCAGAGTCCTCTGCTCTCCCCTTCTCTGCTGCCTTTTTGACTTTCACCGCATCTGTGTCTCCCTCCTGCCCCCTTCCCTCCCTGGGCCTGGCACCAGGCTCTCAAAGCCCCCCCCAGCCCCACCCCCGCAAGGCAAACTCTGCCCCAGAGATCCCAAACAGGCAGGCTACCTCTTTACCACCCATCTACCTCTGTTCCTCTGGGGGCACCTTGATCAGATGTCCAAGTTCCCGAGCATTCTCGAGGTCACACTGGCCACAGGTTGCTCGGGCCTGGGCTGAGCAAGGCGGGCCTGGGAGAGGCTGGTAAACAGGAAACCCCCTCCCCTGGCCATGTGACCTGGTATTGTACCGTTTCCTCCTGGAGGACAGAGCCTTCCTGTAGCCCCTGCATGGGACACGTGGCCGGCTCCTGACACTGGTTTTATTTCCCGGGATGCGCACAGTTCCCCTGCACGGACCTCCTCCTCTCTGCACACTCCTCCAGGACCGCTGTCCCTCTCCCCCTCCCAGGGTGCCCCAGGCAGACGCAGGCAGTATCACCTCAGGGAGGGGTGCCTCCCTCTGAACCTCTACTCGCTCATCTATAAATTGGGGACAATTATAGGAGTTTTCTCATAGTGACACGGGAATTTTAATGAGTCCTTTGCCGGGGCGGGGCACATCCAGGACTCAGACCATAACACACCCTCCTCGAAACCCATCTGTCTTGGAAGAAGTCCGGCCAGAGTGCTCCCTGGAGGCAAGGACGGCCAGACTTCATCTTATGTACTCTGGGCGTGGGGTCGGGAGAGCCTGTCCCTGGAGAAGGACATCATGTTTGGAAAGGTCGCGGGGCGGAGAGGAGAGGAAGATCCTCCAAGGGACAATGGACTCAGACACAGAGCAAGGTGGGGGCCGAGCAACAGGGTCGCTATGGGTCGGAACTGACTCGGTGGAACCGAACAGCAAGAGCACCTCTCTCCCTTTTCTACCTGGGTTTCCCCTGCCAGCTCCTGCGCCCCTCCCCCTCTACCTGTTTTAGCCGGATTCCCCATAGTCTGGACGGTCCAGTTCGAATGATCCCCTAGTTTCCATCCCATAATCAGAGCCCCAAGGCTTTCTTCCTTCCCACCTGAAGCCAGCTCAGCTTCCTGCAAGGACTTCTGGCTCCTCCCTCCCTCCCTCAGGCCGAAAGGCGAGATCAGCTGCCTCTCTACTGCGCACACACTCTCCATTGCCCTGGGGAGCAGTTTCCAGCTCTTCAAAGCCCTCAAAAAGTATGCCTGCTGTCTCCTCCCACATGCAGGCTCTGTTCCAGCCGTGGTGCCTCCGGGCAGGGTGAAGGGCTTCCACTCTCTCCCGCCCCAGGGCCTTTGCCTGTGTGCTGCCACCTCCTTCCTTCTGCACCCGGTTTAACTTCTGGTGTCAAGGTTGGGGTCTGGTCCCACAGACGGTGTGCAACCCCTGGGGAACCAGGGCTTCCTACCTCTGTGCCTCGGGGAAGAAAGAGCAGGGGGTTGTGGGTGGAGTTCACAATTCTGGAGCTTCAGGCTGCTCGGGAGACCTTGCACCTCCCTCCCAACTTCGCTGGCACATGGAACTGTTCCCCAAACTCAAAGCCAAGCTCACTGCCATCGCGTAGACCCTGACTCCTGGCGACCCTATAGGACAGGGTAGAACTGCCCCTGTGGGTTTCCGAGGCTGTCAATCTTCATGGGAGTAGAAAACCCCAGCTTTCTCCCATGGTGCAGCTAATGGATTCGAACACATAAACCACCATGCCACTCCACTCCATAACTGTCCCAAGGCTCTTCCAAGCCTCTGCCCAAGCTCTCCCTTCTGCCTGGAGTGCCCGTCCCCTTATTCTTTCTTTAGAGAAGTATTCGTCCTTCAAGGCTCCCCTTAAGCAGCAGCCTGGGTCATTGGGTCAGAAGGTGGCAGATGGAGGCAGGTGGTGGAGTGCTCAACACACCCGGCTGCTAAGTGAAAGGTCGGGCGTTGGAGCCCACCTGCCACTCCGCAGAAGAAAGACATCGAGGTTTGCTTCCAGAGAGATTTGTTGTTAGGTGTCACTCGACAGCAGTGGGCTTGGTGTCTGCGGTTGGGCACATGCTCAGTGGTGAACGGAAAGGTTGGAGGTTGGAAGTGGACCAGAGGTGCCCTGGAAGAAAGGGCCGGCAACCTGCCTCTGAGCAATCCGCCATGGGCTCTACTCTGACCTCACGGGGGTCTCCTGGAGCTGGAGTTGAAGCGGGGCAGTTGGTTTGGGGCAGGTCTAAGGGTTCCTCTAATAATCAAGGAAATGGAGACCCACGTGGTCCGGGGGCTGGAGGGGAGCGTGTGCCTGACGGACTTCAGGAGAGATCAAACGCTCTGCTACCGACCGGAGACCCATCTCCAGCTCATGGGGACGCCCATGCAAGCAGCTATCGGGAAATCAAGCGACGCTAGCATCGGGCAAGTCTGCTGCGCAAGCCCCCTCGAAGGGATCACGAAGCAAAGATGCCACGTGGAGCACTAAGGGGCCCCTGACCCAAGCCAAGGTACTTTAAATTGACTTCTTTTCCCTTCCTCGTCCCTGCCCCACCCACCCATCTTTCTTTTGGTGTGAAAACCTCCTGATTTCTGTCCCCC